TGGGGATGGGGGGCAAATGTTTTAAGGATTCCGCCAGCCCCGATTAGGGGCCCCCCCCCCCCCCCCCCCCGGCACTTCACCGTTGCACCGACCCCCCTCGAACGATGACGTGCAATTTGATGGCTCGGGGGGGGCGCTGCGTGTTGTTTTGTGTTGTCTTGTGTTAGTAAGTTTGTTTGTTTGTCGTTGGTCACGGCGTGTGTCTTTCTCTGTCTGTGAATTATCCTTCTCATTCAAATCTCTTCATCTGATCTCTTCTTTTTCTTTTTCTTTTTTCTTTCTTTATTTCCAGTCTAGGGTTACCTCGCATGGCGTGTAGAGGCGAGCGGAGTGAGCTAGTCTATCTATCGTTGACTTTTATTGACTTGCGGACCCTTCGGGTCCATTTTAGTTTCGTACACCTTTTTTGGGTAAGTTAGCCTGCGATTACGGGAATCGACCCCGTCAAGTCTTAGACTAGTACGGACAGAAGAAGGTGCTGGGCGAGAGACCGGAACGTTTTCATCTAAAGTGAAGACAACAACAACAACAACAACAACTGTTTCGTGTTGGATGATAGATGCATGTGAACAGCGTGATTCTATGTTGGGAATCAACGTACAAATAGGCTCGTGGGCAAGCTGGGACGGCGGTCGATCATAATCGGATGTTTAAGGCCACCAGCGTTTGAATAAATGTCTCCATCGTCTGCTCAACAAGGCTGCGCAATTCGGGTACGGACACAGGGGATTAGATCCTTAGAGTATCTCGGTCCTCTCACACCCGCCTACATCGCCACACCTCGTCGCGATCAAAAGCAGCAACGCAACTTGCTTCTTGGTGTGATTGTATCACAAGCAACCGCATCTCACCTCCCTCCCGTACTGCATGCCGAAGTACGTGCTTCCGGTGCACTCGGCCTCGCACATCTGCAGAACCAACCGATCAAAGACAACAACAACAGCGGGAAGAGCAGAAGTTATCATCGACTTCGAGATGGAAGCTGTCACTGTTGAGGCTCAAGACCAACTGCTCGATGTGAAAACGGTGTAAAGTTTACTACCGATAGAGGTAGGCACGTGGTTCTTTTGAGCATTCGGCACATCAGGAGGATTGGTCGTGTTGTATCGTATGTTCAACACGGAAAGAGAAAAATACACAGGAAACCTGTGCTAAAATAACCGATCAGTATGACACCGGCAACAACCTCCATCGCACCTCCTTGGTCATAGAAGAACTGTCCGTCAACGCGAGTTCCATGATGCGTGCGTCCGATTCGTCTTGGTAGCATCCCACGAACGTTGATGTCGAAAGCGCGTCGTCACCCGTGTAAAGGTAGACGTTGGCGGCATCGAACCCGCCGCACGTTTGGTCAGCGTCCCCTGCACAGGCGTACGTGCAGTCGGTGGACTCCCCGTGCAACGTGTAGTCCGCACCAGCTGAACCGCACCAGCACTGTTTGTGTTTATTCCAGGTAGAGACACCACCGACAGACAGACACAGAGGATGGAACGTTTTGTCGAGGCGAGGAACGCTCGGCCATACCGGCAGCCGGACAACTAGAACTTCGACAAAAGAATCCTCATAGGTCTATGTAGTTAGTTAGGGATGTCCGAAATATTGCTTGGGGTGTCCTTTTAAGGAACAGTTACAACACAAAAACCTTTGTTCGATAGGCGTACATCGGTCATAGACAATAGCGAATACGACGAACTCAACGATCCTCACCCCGATCACTTTCGTCAGCACCTCCTCAGTACGTGGTGTGTACCATGCGTACACAACCAGCAAGACGAGTATTCCTACCGTGGTCACAGAACGTTGAGCGAAATGCAGCACAACTAAAACGTCCCCAATATCACATCGCGGTCGCGAAATATGATACGAGTTGGTTATATACCAAGTTTTTTATCGTTAAGGTTACTGCCATCTACCTGAACTCACCTCCCGCCCGTACTGAGTGGCGAAGAAGGTGTTGCCGAGGCATGTTTGCTCGCACAGCTGATGTCATAAACACGAAAACGACGAAAAAGAAGGCGCGAAGAGGCAATGGGAGCAAACACCAAACTCGATGTGTTGAAAAAAAGAACAGCAGGGGCCGTATATTTTCGAACTTGACGGCACTCGGATAGGTTCCGATATCTAAAAAACAAAACCTTTTGGTTGGACGTTCATGAAAGGAGCGCAGGTGGAAACGGATACCATTCTTCCTTGGCCATTCACTACATTAGTCACAACCACCCAGCACCACGAGATACAGCCGAATCGATTCATAGACTCGGTATGCCAGTGCAAGTCCATGCTACACCGATCGCCTGGGGATGCCACACAGGGACCTTGTTGTCGTTGTTGTGTAGTGTGACCGAATTATGGCCAACCACAGCAACCTTCGATGCAAGAGCCAACCGGTGTGAACTATATATATCACCTACCCGCAGTAGCTAGGCGTCACGTTGACATCGCTCCAGAGTAGGAGACATGTTGCAACACCAAGGAGCAACACCAGTTTCCGCATTTTCGGGATCTTTTTTGAGGAAACCCCTCCCAAGCATGGCAAATCGGGAGAAACACGATTTGCGCCTGGTGATATGCGGCTAAAACACTATGGGGGCGTACCTCTGGTCGTGGTCTATCTTCGCACGAACCAAACAAAGCTCGCATTCATGAAGGGAATGGAACAAACACGATGTCCGTAAACATTCTATGTGATCACCTCGGTTGTCATCGAGAAGTCGGAAAGAGCGAGATCGTCCATGATACGGTTTTCGCGGTCGTCCTCGTAGCACCCAAGGGAAAGAGGACCAGATTCGTCTGCCGTGGGGCTAGGAGTGGGGCTAGGGGTGCTCTCGCCCGTGTAAAGGTAGACGTTGGCGGCGTCGAACCCGCCGCACGTTTCGTCAGCATCCCCTGCGCAGGCGTAGGTGCAGTCGGCGGACTCCCCGTGCGAAGCGTAATCCGCACCAGCCGAACCGCACCAGCACTGTTTGTATTTGTTTCATGTTGAGGCAACAAACAGATGGGCGGGACGTGTTTCGGCCGTGAGCGCTATTGGCAAAGGCAACAGACACACGCAATCTTGAGGTTTTTGGTGGAGACGACGAAAGCTTGACCATACGGCCAGCCGGACAGGCAGAGCCTTGTGATCAGTTTGGTTTTGGTTCCAATGCATAAAATATCTGTTTGGGACCAACGCCGCTCGGAGCGCATAGACGAAACAATCCACCAGTACGATTTCAGAACTTTGTCCATCGACATGAAATTGAAAAACGGAAATATAACCGCTCCTCGATTTTCACGCTCTTATGTGTAGAGGATTGAACGGATCGTCTACGCACTTTCATTCTTTCCTCGGGCATTCACCGACCAAGAGTCGCAAAAAAGTCTCCACTGCTCTTGCATATGATACAAGCTGCTTGCCATTGTCGTCGTTGTGTTGTTGGCCCCCATTGACAATCGTGTTAACTCTACCTATTCCTCCGTTGGTCACAGTTAAGCTAGGACGACAACGGAAAGCTCAAAGTTAGTGCAGAACCAAGGGCAGCGCAACGTGAGCGTCGCACTAGATAGTTCTACTTGCCCGGGATAGAAAGCGTAGAAGGGCTGCTTGGGAACCGGTGTGTGTAGTGAACCTCTTTCGGGAATGTCGCAGGAGAAGACGACCAGCAGTCACACATCCAAAATGGTTTCAACGTGTTCCTTCGAAACGCTTCTCGCACAAACGAAACCATCCGAATCTTTCCAGCACCTGACTCCTCGTCATCTGCTTGAACTCACCTCTCTCCCGTACTGAGTGGCAAAGTAGGTGTTTCCGACGCATGTTTGCTCGCATAGCTGTCGTTAGAAACACGTACAGCAGGTAAAATACCGGCAGGGGGAAGAGGGAAATGCAGCAACCACGCAAGCGGACAGGCGTTATGAACACGGTGTAAAGAAAAAAAGAAAGGGGTTGATCAAAAGGATGGCTGACGACAAGATACACGCATAATCCCAACGGCTACAATAAGAAGTGCGCAATCTTCTGTTCGTGGGTCTACGGACATGGTTTGGATATGTTAGCCGTACGTACAAGTGTGACGCAGATGGTGTAGAACCTTTTAGGTAGGGGTACGGTGATGATGCACCGGGGCCCCCTTTTGTTGTGTGCAGCAGCCCTGCTGCCACTCCTCCTTTCTGAGCACGACAGCGCCCTGGGTACGGGCGTTGCCTCACCGTCTGAAGTTAATACACTACACAAACAATACCCGATAAGCACGCGGAGTACGGCCGACAAACACTCTAGAGTTTAGATTGATTGTCCCTCGAGGGATAGCCGCATCGGGTCATGTCTGCGTCGGACAGCGGTTCCGTCGCAGGGCTGGGGGAAGAGACCCCAGCCACGCAACAGCAACACGCCGAGGATCCGGCGATTGCGAGGCTGGAGGGCCAGTTATCGCAGCTGATGAGCGTAGTGATGGAGTTGAAGAGGAAGGAGCCTGGTGACGCCGTGGCGGGCGATGCCAGTAGGGGCGGCGGTGCTGCCGTCCCAAGCCAGAGAGAGGCTCTGCCGCCTGGGGGCGGCGGGGCGTTTTCCCAGGAAACGGCCCGTGATGGGCGAAATCACCCGCGGGAAAGCAGCTGGGACAACATACCGGGAGCGAGTCCTGGGGTTCCAGCGAGAGTGACGACTGGCTGGGCAGGTAGATCGGGAGCGAATCCTGTGGGGCCAGCCGGAATGAGCCCGGGCGTAGGACCGGACCGCGGGGAAGCGAGGGGGTTAAACCCCCAAGGTGAGCAAACCGCAATTCGAGGGGCCGGAGCATTTTTTGATGGGTACAGCAGTAGTAGCCAAAAACGTGTTACGGTCAATGCACCGCGTCTCGAAGGGGAGAGTCGCGGCCACGGGTACGACTCGTGGAGGAAGGCCCTTATTCAAGCCGCAAAAACCGTAGGCTTGGACGGGCAGCTTATCGGCAACGCCGAGAAGCACGCACCCGTCGGTGACCCAAACAGGCCTAGCTCGGAGCTGTATAGCTTGGGCTACACAAGTGATGAGGTTCAGAGGGGTCTCCAGGCGTTCCACTTTGTGACTACAGCCATCGTCCGAGAAGCCGACAAGGCAATCGTGAATAAATGCGAGACCGCAAAGGAGATCCTTGCGGAGCTCGACAAAGTACACAACCCGGAGTCGCAGGGCTCGAAACAAGCCCTCATGAAGAAGATGTTTCGATTCACGATCCCCGCACACAGCAACAGCAACCCTGTCGAGCATCTATACACGCTCGAGCTGCTGTACTCACGACTGCGGGAAAAAGGGCTCAACGCTGACACACCCTTTGTTCTCGCACACTTTGTCGATGCCCTTCCACCCGAGTACCAACAAGCCAAATTCTTGTTGGAGACGGCTACAAACCTGGACCGGGGCGAGATAATCAGGGTAGTCAGTACCGTGCACGCGAGCCTCCCGGAGGGGAGGAGGGCCACGAAGGGCCAGCGGAAGGCGGAGCATGCTTTCCTCGCGAGCGACGGTGGCAACAGGGGCGGAGCGCCCGGCCGCAACAGCGGCGGCCACAGCAAGGGCGGCGGCGGCGGTGGCAGCCAGAAGGGGAAAGGGGGTGGTCGCAAGGGCGGTGGTGGTGGCAACAGCGGCGGAGGCGGCGGCGGTGCAGGTAGCATGCACGGCCGCTGCTTCCGGTGCGGAGAGAAGGGTCACCAGGCGGCCGCCTGTACCAAGCCGGAGCCCCTGCGATGCGAGAAATGCCTGGGCTACGGACACGACAAGAGCAAGTGCTCGTCCGAGCAGGCGGTGCTCGCGGTGGAGCTGCCGGTCTTGGACGCCACCGCACTGGACGTGGCAGAGGAGGCGCTAGTGGTCCGTGACTTCACAGGCGAGTGGAACAGAGTCGTTGATCGAGGGGGTGTAGAGCAGGCCAGGCAGGAAAGGTTTGTGGCCGATACCGGCGCAACCAACCACATGTTCCCGAGCGCTAACGCGTTCGAAAAACTACCATGAGTGCGATCGACGTTTGAGTGTCGCCGCAGGGAAGCAAGCCTTCGCCATAGTAGGCTACGGCGACGTGAGGGTGTCCATCGGTTCTCGCGTTGGGACCACAGACCTGCTGTTGAAACGGGTCGCTCATGTGCCGGAGCTGAATTACAACCTCGTGTCCCTCACAGCCCTTTTGAAGCAAACCAAGGGCCGCTTAGCCGCAGACGAGCGTGAGTTGGAGGTGTTCGTTGGTGGGGGGGAGTCGGTGTACTTCCCTCTATGGGGGGACCTGTTCGTTCAGACTGGTCACCGCATAGAGTCGGGTAGGGAACTAGCCTGTGCCATAATTGCTCCTGGTAACGCGAAAGCGAACCGCACCCCCGTTGACATCAACGACTTCCACTGCGCGCACGGCCACTCCCACGAGGTGCTGCTGAAGAACACGGCGAAGCAGCAAGGGGTGACGCTGGTGGGTCAGCTCCGGGAGTGCATGGGGTGCTCGACGGCAAAGGGGCTATCCAAGCCCATCCCCAACAGGACGTCAACCCGAGCAGTTAAGAAACTGCAGAGAGTGTTCGTGGATTTGAGTGGGAAGGCAAGGGTGCAGAGCTTGGGGGGGAAGTGGTACACTCTCATTGTAAGGGATGACTGCACGAGGTGGAACCGCGTCTACTTCTTGAAAAACAAGTCAGACGCTGCAGAGGCATTCGAGAGATACCTAGCGGAAAACAGGGCAGACGGAGCCCCATCCGAGGTCATGGTCGTGCGGTCTGACAACGGAGGAGAGTTTTTCGAGGGAGAGTTCGGAAAGCTGTGCCGCAAGTATTGCATCAAGCAGGAGTTCACCCCCGCATACAGCCCAGAATACAACGGTGTAGCTGAGAGAGCACTGGGACTGATAAAGGATGCAGCACTAGCCGCCCGCATACAAGCGACGATTCTTTACCCCGAAGCACCAAGCTACCCCTCCCTTTGGGCCGAAGCCACAGCTTGGGCATGCAACGCCCTGAACTGCACCTCCACCACATCCAACCCGGACAAGAAATCGCCGTACGAAATGTGGCACGGGCACCCACCTCCACCAGAGGCGACGTACCCGTTCCTCAAACCCGCCGTATACAAGGTCAAGCGCACGCACAAGTCAGAGCCGAAAGCAAAAAAGTGTTTTTACCTCGGCCCTGGAATCAACACAAACCGTGATTGCGTACGCATCCTGAACGAAAAACGCCAAGCGATCACCACTCGCAACTTCACCTGGCAATCTGTGCCCGCCGCCCCGACCGCGCACCCCCAGCCGCTGCCTCCCATTGCAGAGGAGGACGAGGAGCTCACGACTGGGGAGCACGAGGGCGGAGGGGGTGCGTCATGCCACGGTGGAGGGAGGGCGGAGGGAGAACCTGAGGATGGAGGTTTCCACCTTGACACGACGGCAAACCCGGGGCCCGCGGAGCCGCCCGCGCGCGATGCGCCGGCGGCGCCGCCGGCCGCGCCCCAGGAGTCGGGCGCGGGCGACGCTGGCGATGGCGCCCCCTCGAGCAGGGAGGGCGCGAGCGTCGCCCCATCTACCACGTCGACCGGGATGACCGATGTGGGCGGCGGCGAGGACGACCGCCGCAGCAGCAGCAGCAGCAGCAGCAGCAGCCGCGGTGGCGGCGGCAGCAGCAGCAGCAGCGGCAGCAGCAGGAGCAGCAGCAGCAGCAGCAGCAGCGGTGGCGGCAGCGACAGCGGCAGCGACACGGATATTCCGGCGCTCCGCGGGCCCGAGGAACGGAGGCTCGCCCGCTTTGGCGAGCCGGCCGAACTCACCAGCCGCCGACTCAGGGAGAACCCTCGCCGGAACACGAGGTACGAGTCGTCAACGAGTGCCGAAGGTCTGCTCGCCCGCCATGCATCGGCGGCCGGGCTGCCCACCCTGCCCATCACCAGCACGGAGGAGTACACCCACTGGATGCTCGCGTGTGTGGTCGACGTGGTGGAAGGGCTAGAGGCGAGGGCGGTGCAAGCGCTGCTGTGCGAGCGCGCGGAGGAGGCCAACATCGCGCGCCAAGAGGCAGAGGACTTCCTGCCTGACCGAAGCGAGATGACGAAAGTGGAGGGGAGTGGCCGGTGAGGGAGGCCATCGGCAGCATGATGTGGGTGTCGACGTTCTCGCGCCCGGACATCTCGTTCGCTGTGCGTGCGGTAGCGCGCCACGCCCACGCCCCTGCCGAGAGGCACTGGAAGGCGATACGGAAGATCCTCGCCTACCTCAAAGAGACGAGGGACCTCGGGATCACCTACAAACGGGGATCGGGGCTGGGGCTGGCGGTGTACGTGGACGCTAGCTACGCCGACGCTGAGGATAGACGTTCGGTGTCAGGGCTGGCAACAACGGTTGGAGGAACCGTCATCAGCCACGGTAGCAAGACGCAAGCTATCGTATCTTTGTCGTCTACGGAGGCAGAGTACATTGCTGCCGGAGAGGGTGTGAAAGAAGCTTTGTTTGTGCGTGCAGTGCTTTCGTTTATTGCCCCAGAGACCAGCGGCGGTAGCATTCAGGTCCTTGAGGACAATCAGGGGGCCATGGCTTTGGTGCAGAACCCCCTTAGCTCAGCGCGTAGCAAGCACATCGACGTGCGGTACCACTTCATTCGTGGATTGTTTAGGTCGGGTGACATCTCGATCAAGTTTGTGTCGACGTCGGAGCAACATGCAGACATGCTCACCAAGGCTCTTAGCAAGAGCAACCTGCAGTACCACCGGAAAAAGCTGATGAATTTGCCGGAGCTTCTGTAGGATTTTCTAGCGCTTGGGGAAGGTCATGTATACCATGCGGGGAAAGATGCATTACTGTCGCGGGCTGTGTCCCAATGGCAGGAGTAGGAGGCTTGCCTCGCATTCTTGTCTTCGCCTTGGCCTTCCTGATAAGTGCGGCCGTTGTTATCCGCTGTGATAGCAATGGTTTGTGTTGGATGGGATTTATTTTCGAGGGGTTTTGCCCGGGCGCCGGGTTTCCCCTCGACCACCGTATTGGCATTTTATTGATGTATCCGGGGTGTTTTTGCCCCACTGATGGTTAGTCACTTGCGTGAAGAACCAGGGAGGGTGTTCGTGGGTCTACGGACATGGTTTGGATATGTTAGCCGTACGTACAAGTGTGACGCAGATGGTGTAGAACCTTTTAGGTAGGGGTACGGTGATGATGCACCGGGGCCCCCTTTTGTTGTGTGCAGCAGCCCTGCTGCCACTCCTCCTTTCTGAGCACGACAGCGCCCTGGGTACGGGCGTTGCCTCACCGTCTGAAGTTAATACACTACACAAACAATACCCGATAAGTACGCGGAGTACGGCCGACAAACATCTTCTACGCATTTCGAATCTTGTTCACGTTGGAGTGTAGAGTTGGTCTTTTGGTTGCCACTCAGCCCATTCGGTTTGGCTCCGCAATATCATGAGACACAGGGTAACCCATACAGAGATTCGGCGTTCTTGTGAGCAACCCACACGAGGCCGGTCTTCGACGCGGCACGCGGGAATGCGAAAAAGAGATTGCCGTGAACACGCCGAGCGTCTGTTGTGTATGGCGACATATGATATGACCCGCGACTGCAAAGCATCTACCAGCCGAGACGTGCTAACTTTAGACATGCCTAGAGAAATTCAACAGGAACAAGAACCTGACCCTCGTCTGGTCCGTATGATATTCAGCTTTAGAGAGACCTGGAAGGTTTGAGTCCCGAGGTGATGACTGCATCTCGGGGGGTGTTTTCTTGAGGGACTCCTCGCAAGCATGTCTCTGTGTCGCTCCGCCTTTCCGTCTCTACACAAACCGAAAGCAGTGCGAAAATTTGTCGAACATTTGTATCACCTCGGTTGTCATCGAGTAGTCGGAAAGAGCGAGGTCGTCCATGATACGGTCTTCGCGGTCGTCCTCGTAGCACCCAAGTGCCACAGAGGAGCCTTCCACCGGAGGGCTAGTAGACGGGCTGGGAGTAGGAGGCGCTTCATCTCCAACAGTGGGGTGGGGCGTGGGAGGTTGTGGGCTCCACAATGGGCCGGGAGTGGGAGGGTAGGTATCAAGCGTGCCTGGTGGAGAACGGGACGGGTCGGCAAGGGTGACAGAGGAAGCACTGGCTGGTCATTTAATGGCTGAGACGCAGAAGGGTTAAGAAATGGCAGATGTTGCACATCTTGCAGCCAAGCGGTCAGCCCATCAAGCGGAAATTTTCTGAAGTTAGCGGCGTGTAGTAGATGCTAGACAATACCAAAAATCAACCTTGTCAGGAGAACGTTCTACTGTGTCGAAAGGGGCCGGCTTCGAATCGAAACGTCCGGGAACAGATCGCGTTTCTTATGCACCGTGCGTGGTGACTGAACACAGAATAAGTTTACACACGATGGCCCTCCTGTCGGAGGTTGACCTCCCTCGGCAATCGGCTTTGGTCGTGAATTCAAGCCTCGTTGAATTCGCAGGAAGTGGGGCATTACGCAATACTTAGCATTGAGAGGCTTTCCAAAACTCGCGACAGTCTCGACGAGGGCTGCCTCCTTCATTTCATCTCTACAGCAACAAAGCACCTCACAAGGAACGTGCAGGAAAATAGAGAACAACCTACTTAACATATTACCAAAGTTCCTCATGTTTTGATCCCGACTGGTACAGCCACAGAACACACCGAAAGGCGTAGGAGTTGGCGCCCAGCAGAATAGATGGGATGATAACACGTTTTCAGCTTGTCTTGTTTTTGGTTGTCTGGGTATTGCCCGACGCTGCGGCCAATCACGTGCACTGAATGCAGGAGATTAAGCCAATGCATCCATCAGTCTGCCTCACCACGCATGGTCGGGGCAGGAGTGGGAGCAGGCATGGCCGGCGATGGCGTGACCGGGCTAGGAGTGGCTGCCAGGACAGGACAAGAAGGGAACGACACGGACGGGAGCGGTGGAAAAGCGGGAGACTGCCATACATACTTCGACCTTGCATTCAAAATATCGACGTCTTCAGAGCGCGTCTACACTGGTTCAAGGAAAGGATACAAGACTATATTCAACATCAACAATTTACGCCGTTTTTGGGAGTTAGACTTTGAAACTTTGCACACATGTACATTGGGTTAGTACGAAACGCTGCCAGGAGGGTCATTTCTTTTGTTTTCCCCTGTCGCCGGATATCCGGGGTCCTATATAATAGGGGATTCGGGGTCATGTGCGGCTCCTGGAACCCCGAATAACCGGCGACCATGGAAGAAAAATTGAAAGGACCCTCGGCACAGGCGATTTACTATGGTTACAGCTCATGTGCATTGGAACGAAGGCATACAAGTAGCTGTTCGCGAATGTTACCGCGATGCTACAGTTGGCGCTACCGCTAGAACCGTACTCACGACATATCCCGGTGTCCGGTTCGTCGATGTCAGGATCTTCGAAGACGGACAGGTCGATGGCGTTCTGCTCGTCGTCGACATAGGACAGCTGGACGAAGTTGTCGCTCCAGGTGTAGGAGGTGTCGCAGTTGTAAAGATAAAGGGCAAAATGCCAGTAATAGTAATCCTCTGATTCGACGTAAATAGGATCTAGATCAGCCTCGCCAATGTCGAAGGTGAGACTCAATTGATCATCGGATAGGTCCGCATCTAAATAGCCGTCGCTGCCCGTGGTATATCCCCAGCTCGCGATAGGCCCCGTGAAATCGGCTGTCACGATAGGGTTCGACGACACGCACTGCGAAGGACGACGTCACACACCAAGCGTGGGGGAGCGACAACAACGGACGTTTCGAGTTGGACGTCATGGCGAGGCCAAGCGCAACAGCGAAAGAATGTCGCCAAACGTACCCCAAGGAACGCATATGTCGGACGATACCTGCTCTGGACGAAGACGAGAACCCATCCATTTCTCTCCATGCTCACTATGGGTACACGCTTATTCTATTTTGCGCAACATCGAACACATCATCTCTCATGCCACCAAGGTCAACCAAAGCTGTGTGATTTACACACATTGCACCACTCACGCCGATCTCCCGATGAATGTGGAAAAATAGACGAGCTCGATCACACGATGATGGAACAAAAGTGGAAGGCGTTCCACACGGGTACCAGGCCACGTACGGTGCACTGATACACTGGCCGGACACTTGGCCCATGGACACGAGAGCCGTCACGGCGATGGGAACACTCTTCGTCCCCGCGAACATCTTTTGTGCGGTGTACCCAGTTCAACACGCCTACCTGGTGGCGTCACAAGAGCAATGCGGGTTACAACGGAACGGGATTGATGGGTGGGAGAGTGCATTGCGCTAATACCATTCTGCTGACAGTTTCTAGTAGGCGCACATCAGCGCTCACCCTCTCAGACTGCGTGAGGAAAGTAAATAGATACAATATGCATTTGTTTCACCGAGTTGAAAAATCTGAAGCAAGGCAGACCTCGGTTCATGTCCATATTTTGGGTTACAAAGGGAGTGGTTCAACTGGGTGCCTCACAGCCTTTTGACGTTTGGGACGTGCATTCGAGTCTCTATGTGAAGTTTCATGGACTGCAACTTTTTCCCATAATCACCCACTATGTGAACAGCGATAAACCCGTGTGTATGGCAAAAAAATGGCTTCATGACCGACGAGGGAAAGCATCAGCTGAACCCCTCTCGAGACAACCATCAAGGCAAGTACCGCAGGAAGAAGGAGGAGACACATTTCTGTGTGGCCTCACTCCTGTCTGTGTGACCCCGGCAGGCACGTCCAGACGTTGTACCAAAGGAGAATGTTATAAGGAGCAAACCAAGTAAAAGGCACGGGAGAAGCAGGTCCGCTGCTCCTTGCTTGATGTCACTCACCACAGTTGGTGGATGTCACGTTTCATCCTGTTCACACCAGGCCCGCGTTTCACTCTCACAAGCAGTACATTTAGCGCCGCGATTAAGGAACAAAACTTTAAGAGTCACTCAGGAATCGGCGATAAATAAGAAAATCGACCAAGAAACACACCCTCAGCCGCGGATCCTAAACCAAACTCTATACAATGACCTATGCTCGACGGTGGTGACCAAGTAAGAAATCAAACCTCGACCAAATTGCCGTTTCTTACACACGGGCGCTAACTGCTGAGAGTGAGGACGGGGGTTGGAATCCTGACTGATCATGGATACCAACGAAAACACGAAATTTATCCATGCATGTAGCGCTCGCAAGACGCTCAGATAGTGCTCATACACTGCCGTAGTTGTCCCATTAGCCCCTTTGAGTCTAGCTGGTTTTCTTCGGCAAAACAAGGCAAACTTGTGATTTTTGGCAAAATAAAAAAGGGGGAGAAAGAGTGCGGGAGAGAAACAGAGAGCGCAGGTTAGCCTTGTAGACCTTGAAAAGATCAGTCGTCAATCTGCCTGAACTAATCTATTTTCAGTATTTTCAAACCATCCAAAAACGGAAATGATCTATGAGAGGGCTTGTAGACCCAAAGCTGCTGTTAGTACTTGTGTACTTCTCTGCCCCCCCCCAACGTGAGCCCTGCCGGCTAATTAGATCCTGTGATTTTCCCACAAGCACGCATGCACACCAGCGCACACCTACCAGTGCATCAATGGCTCGCTAGGTTCGGGCGAGGGTATGTGTGATGTGATGATGGTACAGGTGTTGCTATTGTTGGACTTGTCTATACTGCTGCTGTGTAGTGTAGCTGCTGACACGATGACTGCTGGATCTTGGAGTGTACGATTATCAAATGTGGAGATTCAGCATACCACGATATCCTGGCCTGGTTGGGCTTGAAATGCCCCTTCGCTGCCCTCCGCTCTGTGCATCAAGTGGCTTCCTAGATTCGGGCGAGGGCATATATGTGGAGCTGCGATGTGTGTCTCTGTGAGAGGATATGGGGAGAGATTCATTGTGGCATTCGCAATTAGCGCATTGTGCATTTTTCAAGTATTGGTACCCGTCTACATGTAGGGACCTTGATTTTACCCGCTGGCACTACACTACGTGTTTTAAATGTACACCGGTTAGGGTGAGCGATGCTAGCAATAAAGACACACGCACCTATGGACTTGCCAACACCTGCCGTGGAGGGATACAGGGGGCAACTGCATGCATCCACACCAACATTTGCAAATGATCTATCCATGATATCTATAAGTACGCCTTTAAAGGACCGATCGACATACAGTAGAGCAAGGACCGACGTCCAGAATAAACGGGGCCACTTAAAAAAAAAGTGGGGCGGGATCTGTTCTGAAAGAATCCCGGAGGACCGTCGACTCTTGAGACTACAACGACGATTCATGCGTGCGAGTGGTGCAGTAGGCTTTTCTTTGCTGTGCACGAGAGACCAATTCTTGCAGATCGTGGGCATTGTAGCATGATAGAAATTTAAGCGGAGCGCGCTTGGCAGCCAGCTTGACGAACTGGGTCGCATTCTGCGCTGCTGAAACTCCTCGATGCAAGAACGTTGTATTATTGTAGCGACAAGCAGCACCATATTCTAAAGATTATGGTTGGTGAGAACGGAGGTACCGCATACCGTGGTAGCCAGACGACTGACTGCAGTCGTATGCATGTTGTTCACAGGAGTATTGCGCAGGGCGCATCAGAGACACAGAGCAGAGAAGGTACAAACAGAAGCGGTCTTGGTATCACACAAGAAATTACGGTCGTACCTACCGTCACTTTGCCGATGCTTGACTCGTCGGGAGCAGGCGAGCGATCGGTTTTACGATACGCTGGGCTGGTAGCGGTGACGATGACTTGCCCCGCTCCAGCAAATGTTGCGAGAGTTTGTTGTGATCCGGGGCTTCAGTAGGCAACAAGAGTGAATGCGTGTGCGTGGTTTGGGTCGTCGGGAAGGATAGCACGAGACAAGCCGAGCAGACCGATCGACTTCGTCGGGATTGCCATAATAAACTTCCTGGGCAAACGATACATCCCCGTCACACAACAATCCCCACAAGACTATATCGTTTTCTCCTGCTTGGAGAAGTATGTGGCGCCAGAATACCTGGGGCAAAGATATACACCCAACAGTGATGTGTGGTAGGGTATTAGGTCTACGCCCATCGGACTAATTTTGGCACCAGAATGCAGCCCTGCAGCTAAATACAAGGAAAAAATGTGGAAGCGTCCGAAATCATCCGCAGCTTGCAACAATAGCCCGAGGTGGGGGTGATGACCAAGGTATGCAACCACTGCTGTAGCTACGCCAGAGCCTGCCCCGAACTCCCGTTCAGTGTTGCTCGTACCTGCCTCCACCGCTTGTACTACGTCGCTCTGCCACCGTCGCCGCCGCCGCCGCCGCCTCTGCTGCTGCTGCTGCTGCTGCTGCTTAATCATATTTTTGCTCTTGTTTCACGCCGCCACCATCATCCTCCCTGCTTGGGTTGCAGGATTGCATGAGCGGTCGAAATTGTGAAATGTTGATTTTGATGTGACGTGCCTCTCTGGCTCTTCTCCCCGAACAGCAGCAGCATCGGTGAGGAAACCACACAAGCTTGGCTGACCCCATACGACTACCTGGTACACACTTACTGCTGTACCAACATTCACTAATCACTTTGTGTCACGCTCGCACACTCACCCGCCCCCAGCTGGCGCTGTGATTGGCCACCAAATTCACAGTCCCGTGAATGTAAATTTCGCCCTTCCCTTCGTTTCGCGCCTTGCCGAAAATCGAACACAACAATAGCAAAACGTTCTCGAATGTGGTGATAACGGAAGCTGCGGTGTTTTGCACCCCAAGGTAGGCCCTCCTGTTAAATCATGCTGCTCTCTGGGTAAATGTGGAAATACCGGTTTCCTCTGCATGGATGGGCCCTCGGCGTAGAAAAACATGAAAAACTAGAAGTATGTCTCGTACTACTGCTGTAGCTGTAGTACATACTGCTGTGTATGCAAGCATGCAAAGAATAAACTACATAGAGGGCGGCCCCCCCCGCTGTGAGGGCGGCGGGGCCCGAACCATACCGCTAATGCACAGAAGTTCATGTACATGATGGATGAGTCGGCGTACGACACCAATTCCTCGATAATTTTTCCGGACATCGCATCGACATGCCGTCGGGCTCTGAAAAGTGCTTTCCCCGGTCCTCCCTTGCTTTGGATTTTCCCGCCACCCCTTTGGGCGCAACTCGGGAATGCAGCGCAGTGCATACTTGAGCAATTGGGTCTGCTTAGATGGTGACGTTCTGTTGCCTACTGCTGCGGTTGGTTGGCCCGGCGCCAATTTGTCTCACGGTCGCTCAGGGTGGACTCTCTGGATCGTCCTGAACGCACGCGAACATGGGGAATGTATGGCCAAGCAGGTCTCATGGGGATGCTTAGCAAACCGCACGGTGTATACTGTAGTCTCTCGACAATAACGTTTCAATCGAGAAGACCATATCGAAAGCAGTGTAGAGGATCACCTCCCCCACCGTGGGGAACTTGTTGCTGGATCCCGCACGGACACCCCCAAATGAGGATCAAATCGGGTACGGTTGGCCATAAAGTCGTGTTGAACCGGGGAGCAGATGTACATGGTTGTGTCTATGGCGGAATGCCGGCAACGATCGGAGGTCGCGTCCTTGGAATGATAGCCGGTCGTGCAGGGAGATGACAGCCGCAAATATTTTTGAGTGATGAGGAGGAAGGGCGGGACCTGGTTGCAGCATTGTCTTCCCGGACCCCGATCCCGGGACTCTCACCTACAGCACGTGCCCTGAGAGCACGGTGTCGCCTTCTACCGAATGATACCTCGGCTATCGAGACCTTCGCCGGGCAGCTTACGCAGGGTTTCAAAACGGATTGGCGCTGACGCGGCGCTCTTGCTCGCAAGGTGCTAGGGTTTGAGCCAGGTGCCCGTGAAAACCTACCTCCTGGCACCTTGGGCTGCCTCTGGGGCTTGTTGCTTGGCAAGCGGCGACGCATTATGTAGGGGGGCTGTACCCTGACCTTTGGGTGATAGCTCTCATGGACTGCACCAGATTGACTTTCGTGGAAGAAGGGCCTCTGGTGGACTGTTGTCTGTGGAATTCCTTCGAGAAATGTTAAGCGCTCCAACGACGAATGCCGGTGGGCGTCGGGTTCCGCCCACGACCAGCTGTTACTATAGAGCTCTAATACGCAGCGCATGTCGAGTTCAACTACATTGCCCGTCAGACAAGTATGTATGTCGATGTAGGGTGGGTCCGGGGTCTTGTTCTTGTTCTGGAAGGTGGCGAGCTTCATCTTC